CAGGAACAGATCCATCCGCAAGCATACAGTCCAGATTAAAAAACACAAACCAAACCAAAAACTTCTAGCACCACTCCCAATGATTAAATCCTCATTTGTGTTTACTCACTTCCCTCCAAAACAATCACCTGCAGCATTGTGGCTGTATTGCCACGCACAGGAGGACGACTGCAGCGGCAAAAGAGACGTACCTGTATGGGTAGCCGTGGTACTTGGATCTGAAGACGGACAGCAACCAGCTGAAGAACAAGCCCACCAAGCCGATGCCAGCAATGCACATAACTGCAAGAGATGCAGACCAAGATTCTAGTGTGACAGCTGTCCCCCCAAACCACCACAGGGAGTGGGGGTTGCAAAAGCACTCTACAGTGTTCACAGATCTGCTCAGGGGAGACCCCTATTTTCTTTCAAATTCCTACTCTAAATCAATTCTACGCCATTGCTTTAAGAGAAATTAAGCCCTCCTCTCCCCACTGCAAAGCACCTTTTATCTCCCTATCTCCCAGAAGGGTTTTGGGTTTATCTTGCAGTTTGCTAAGCAACTCCAAATGCCGCCAAATCCCAAATGATTCACTTCTGCTGAGAGGTGGGGAGCATACAAAAACCCACCCTGCAAAAGACTTTCTATTGATGTATCAAAAATCTCTACTGCCCCTGCCTTATCCTACAGAGGAAAACAAGAAAAACATGAGTACTTACTTTTTCTTTTCCCCACATCCATGTCAGAGGTAGCGGCTTCGTAGAGGAGTACCATTCCTAAAGTAACACCACCATCTACAAATGCGGTTTAAGGCTAAATCAACAAAATATAGCGGAGTCCACAGAACACACTCACTCCAAACCTCCTACGTTCAGCTCCCACACCAAAGAAACATTTCTATACAAATGAGAAAGGCAAAAGCTCTCAACCTGCTGGTTTCTGCTTGCCTTTCTTGAAGGCACGGGAAAAATCCCAAATCCTTAGTTTGGAATGAGTGCCAAGATCAAAAGTAAAGAAGGTAAGCAAAGAAATACAAGAAAGATCAGTAATGGAGGGAATTCAACACCAAAGCAACAGCTAAGGAAGCGAGATTGAAAAGACAAGAGACATGCACAGAGGAATAGGGGCTATCCTGAGGAATCTTATAATTCCACAAAGATCCACATCTTTAACAGTGTATTCATTTCAGTCACTAAGCAAGGGAGGCGCTGGTCAGAAAGCAGCACACATTTTTCTATTCAGCTCTGTGCTGGTTTTGCTCAAGAAGGAGTTAACTTTCTTCACAGTGGCTGGAATGAAGCTCGGTTTCTGGATTCAGCCTGAGAAAGGTACTGATAAGGTGTCTTTTTAGCTGGTGCTGGAGAGTGCTTGCACCAAATTCAAGGTTTTTCTCAGCTTCTGATACTGCAGCCGCATTCCCACCCTTCCACTACAAGCAGTGTGGGGGGACACACAGTTCAGAGGGCTGACCCAAACTGACCAACGGGGGATTTCCGTAGCACATCATGCTCGGGACATAAGTGGGGAGTGGGGTCAGAGGCCATTATACTTTCACTTTCTGATGCTCTTTACACTTGCTAACTCTCTAACTCCTTCGTTAGTTGCTCTGCTAACTCCTGTGCCGGCTCGATCACAAGTTAGTTGGTTGTGCTATTGCTGATAGGGTTTGCTGGGACTCTGCTGTGATTGCTCTTGGGCTCCGGCTCTCACTGTGCAGCAGTCAGGGGATGGTGAGCAATTGTATTGTCTGCTTTCTATTATTTTAGTTACCTATTAATAGTAGTATTTGTATATATTCATTTATATATATTATTCCCTTATATTCAATTAGTAATTAGTTCTTATCTCAATTTTATGAGCTTCCTTGTCTTTTCCCTCCTATTCTTCCCCTCTGCTGGAGGTGGGGGGACAGCTGTGAGAGCAGCTTTGTGGTATTTTGCTGGCCGGAGTTAAACCACGATGTACTTACAGATCACTGGCATAGGAAAAGCAGTTACCAACACACAAAGGCTCTAGTAGGTGCCGTGTCAGCATTAGGTCAGAGTTACGAGCCTTGTCAAAGTAATCTCATGGAAAAGGCAGCACCATAAGCGAACAGAAAGCTCGTCACCAACCACGTGCAGGAAGGATACTGAACAGAAGAACAATGTGCGTTTCCGCCACAAACTGGGCTTGGCTGCTTCCATGGATATAGTTCTGTAAGAGACAGTAGTTGAATTTAGAAAAGCCTGGAGTCAACTGTGACATGACTAACAGCAGGTATAGAGCTTGGAAGTGGGGTTTGCACTGCCTCTTTCAGGAGACAGAAGTTGGAGCACGAGCAATTTCATCTGTTGACCATTGATTTTTGAGAGGAGTTGCGTCAGCATCAAAAATTCTCCTGCTGTCACGTGCAATCAGCCCAAAGTACCATCCGGATTATGGTAAGTGCAAGTACAGCTACAACTTTCATGGCC